GCAACATTAAATGAGTTGTTATTATATACTAGCCGCGACCCACACCGCAACATTAAATGAGTTGTTATTATATACTAGCCGCGACCCACACCGTAACATTAAATGTGTTGTTATTATATACTAGCCGCGACCCACACCGCTACATTAAATGAGTTGTTATTATATACTAGCCGCGACCCGCAAAACATTTGTTGTAGTTTTCATGGACTTTGCTTGAATTTTCCTTATTCTATCATTTTCGCAGACGCCGTTTAAACTACGCTTTCTTGCAGGCATTTTGTGTTAGCTCGATCAATCCTTATCTATTTGAAAAACATTTACGATGTCAGACAAACAAACTCATGTTAACGTAACTTTATTTAATAAAACCACACGCAAAGTAAACAATAAGTATTGTAATGGTATTTATAATAGTGTACAAAGTATGAAACAGTTATAAGCATTCAATGTATGACACAGTTTCACGAGGGTGAAACAAAGAAAATAAAACCTGTAGTAAAGAAAAAAGTAGCTAAAAGATGTTTATAACAGTCTATGAAACGAACCGAAGATATGTTATTGTAAAGTTGTAATGAAGGGAAACTTAGCTGAATATGCAGAAACGTCTGAATGCGTGTTCACACAGTGATAAGCTTATGGTTTTTAACGAACTGCACATGCATATTCTAAAACTAAATACGTCGAGAAAGTCCGTATAAATTGTACTTAGTGTAATGTTAATTTCTTTAATGAAATTACACGCGGGTTAAGTGTTGTCTGTGTGAAACACATTGCAACTAAAAAGCTAAAGTCGGAGTCGAAGCCAGTCATCACTTGACGACAACGAATTTGTTCCATGGTATAGCATACTCGTTGCATTAAAAAGTTTGACTGAGCAAAAACCAGGTAAAGTGACTCTGAATGGAAAAGCCAATATGCAATCCGGACTCCTCGAACAAAAGCCATACTAACGATATGAGACTTGATTGAGAAATATGTGAGAAAAGTTGCAGACAGACAAACGCAAGCGTATTATTTATATAGATAATTATGCGTATTTAAGAAACACAATCCGGTATATTAATATCACTCAGTTTGAGGATGATTATCCAGTAATTATAATAATAAGTTCATATATTTCATTCTTAAAGTTCTCTTGTGTAAGTAACCCCATTCAAAAGTTATTTTCCCCAATTTCAGGGATCCAGGAAACTTATTTGAAATGAACACACTAAAAACTACTGTGCAAATGGCTGTAGAAAAAGTCAGGTGGGCCAAGGGGTCTTCTCTGTTTCAAGATGTGCCTAGCGCCCTCTGTCAGGTAACAATGTTCACCCTTGCGGATGTTTCTGAGCATTGTTCATTGAATGACTGCTGGTTGATAATCTGTGATAAGGTTTACGACATAACAGACTTTTTGAGGCAGGTAAGGAAATAAATTCCCCTGTTTAGTCCAGTGTTCACTATTTTCATATACTTTGTTTAAAGATAACGCCAAAGAATTTTTCGATAAATGATGTTATACTACTACGTGATTTTTACATTATTAATAAGCCTCTGTATATTATTTGTTCTGTGTGAATATGTATTGCAATTGCCTTGTTATTCTTGTGGTGTCAGGATTTAGGTTTACGTTAACTACTATATTTGTATAAATGCATATTTTTAATGGCATCAACATTTTTACTCTGGTGAAAAAATTGATTTTACATTATATTTTGTTAGAATTTTTCATGACTTCCTTCTCCTGCAGCACCCTGGTGGAGAAGATATAATCTTAGAATATGCAGGTCGAGACGCAACCGTGGCATTTCACGGGACCGGGCACAGTTCGGACACTGTCCAAGAGATGGAAAAATATTGTATTGGTTTGCTAATAGAGGTAATAAAAAAAATCTTAGTTTTGTTTCAAATACCCTTCTGTAGATCCAATCCAAGACAAATTTCTAACTTATAAGTACTTCAGCAAAGTAAAAGACGTGATCGTTATTCTCTCCCAGTCTGAGAGCAAGTGAAATGAGAATAAGACTGAAATCGATACTGTTCTGATGATTAGATGGCAAATAATACACATATTATCTAATATGTACGAATTTTCTTATTTCTTAAGTTACTTATCAGATAAATGGACCCTTTAAATATTTTATTTTATCAAATATAGAACGCAAGTTATCCCGCCAGGAAAATGGGTTTTTTTGTTTTAACATTTTAATTAAACGATAAGGTTTTTATTTCGTTTCATGAGGTAATTAAATAGAATTCATCAGTACATTACAAAAAAAATAAGCACTTCACTTTGATGAAATAAGCATGATCTTGAGTGCTGTGTATATTGAAAACGCCCCACTTTAATAAAATAAGCATGATCTTGAGTGCTGTACATATTGAAAACACTTCACTTTAATAAAATAAGCATGATCTTGAGTGCTGTACATATTGAAAACACTTCACTTTAATAAAATAAGCATGATCTTGAGTGCTGTGTATATTGAAAACACCTCACTTTAATAAGATAAGTATGGTCTTGAGTGCTGTGTATATTGAAAACACCTCACTTTAATAAGATAAGTATGGTCTTGAGTGCTGTGTATATTGAAAACACCCAACTTTAATTAAAATAGGCATGATCTTGAGTGCTGTGCATATTGAAAACACTTCACTTTAATAAAATATAAATTACTTACTGTCACGCTTTCCTTTATTTGTTCAGTGTAAGTTGAAACATATATGTACATTGGTAATGTATACATCGTCTATAACTGTGCTATTGTTTCTTAACCACAATGTGTGCACTTTTTATCTCCACTTGGTTTGTTTTATTTGTCTTTGGAAAAGGTCAATTCTATGCATAAATATGCTTTAAGTTATCGCATTTAACTTTTTAGAACAAGAACAATACATGAAACGATTTTTTGTTTCAGCACGAAAGGCTAAACTTGTACACTGAAAAACTCCTCTTCAAACCATGAGTGTTACCTCTAAGCGTTCCTGTGCTGCCATCTGATGACAAGAAACAAAGACGATATGAAAACAAGCCGATGGGACAGTGTTAATTTTATTATTAATTTAATCAACTCGATTGCCACCTGTTCACTAGAACCTCTTCATGACTTGTAAATACACATGTAATGTCTCATCACACCCTCGTTGTAAAAAAAAATCCACAAGATAGAAATCGTTTTTTATGTATATGTTCTTGACATTCCAAGTATATATCTAACTCATTTCGTTCTTACCTCGAGTCAGTTGTTAGTACTGATAATAGCTGCTAGTGAATACCTTTTACTTTATTAATGTCAAGCTTCGGTTCACGTGATCGGCTTGGCGACTAGGAATATTATTATTTTAGTAACTCTTCAGACACTCCCAAAGGACAGTCCTTCCATCTGGTAGGATATTTAGTTTTTATTTTAAATAAGTGTCCATAAAATGTTTTGCTACTAGTCAAAAGACTGTATAAGGTTTTATCGCATTGAAAACTTGGCATATTTACTTCAGTTTTTGTTGTCTATTTAAAAATGGTTTATTAAAATTGTTAGAACCTTGACAAAATACAAACTGTCGTTTTGTGAAATGTTATCACGCTGAAGAGTAAACATTATTTGTTTGTTATTAACCACAAAACTAAACAATGCGCTGTTTGTGTTATGTGCCCACCACGGTTATCGAAATACGACTTTTATCATTAAGTTACTGAGATCTAAAGTAATATAAACCACGTTTACAGTCTGGATAATATTTTTCTCTTTTGTAATTTCGTTTCATTTTGATTTATTTTTCTTGCAACTGGGATACATTTATCTTCCTCCCGTTTCTTCATTCCAACAGAAACTTGTAGAAACATGAATTTTAAAATAGGCACTTTGCCTAAGTTATGTGCTATTTACTTTAAATATTTTAGTATTACGTTTTTACATATCTATAAGTCTGTATATAAATCGACTCTTTTTTTTTTTGTAGATTACATGTTGACTGAACTTGAAATTTGTCAGTTGGCTTTTTTGTATTGTTACGTCTCCGTTCGTTAGTTGATTTTCCGTAACTTCGTTCCCACGACACTTTAGCGACACAAGTCCTTTCTTAATAAAACTGGTTTATTCTTTCTGAATATAATTTTACCGATACACTTATTTTCAACAGTCGCGCTATAACAACGAACGTACTCAACTTGAACAATACTCTCTGACTGTAGTTCAATTACTCACTACACTGTTCCCGTCACGTTGTGACCGTCTTATATATATACAA